TCACCTTTGAAACACTCTTTCTCTTCCACTATTCTTTTTAATATTTACTAGTAGGGAGAAGAGGCCCTTCATACCTTTTAATATTTAAAAATTAAAATAAAATAAAAAAGAGATAAATTGAATGAGTGGTTATGGATGTTTACTCAAAAAACATGATCAATTGTTTCATTTTTTTTTCTTAGCAAATGAGACATAATGGTTCACTATAAGTGGAGACAAAAAATAATTATATACAATGGATTCCCTTTATAATACACATAGATTTAGCTTTTATTCTTCTTCTCTATTTCTCATATAAATTTTATTCATCAAAGTTCTCGTACTCTTTAACTAATCATCTACTTTATATATTATTTTTATTTATTTATTTTTAAAATTTTGAAAAATGGACTCTTTTTCTCAATCAATGATGATAAAAAGACATCCCAATTCCTTAGTGTGTGTTTGGATACTAATTTGAAAATTACATTTAACAAAAAAAATACACATTTCAATGTAGAAAAAGTAAAAGTTTGTGGTTGTAACTTTGTTTTTTTTTTTAACTCTAGTTGAGTTTAACTCAATTGTTTTCCAAACACACTTTTTAACTCTAGCTTACTTGATATCAATACTTAGGTGATGGAACCTCTAATGAAGAAGGATGACTGAATTCTTCATTGTAGCTCCTTGAATCCACTTGATCCTTCCTTGATGTGCTCCAATGGATTTTGACCGAACAAGATGAGTGAAAGAAGAAGGAATAGGCGTGTTGAGCCTCCTTGAGAAGGAGATACAAGCAAATGCGCTACTCCACAAGGAAGGATTTCTTGTTGAAAGTGCTTAAGGAGAATGATTCTCCAAATGGACCTTTCAGAGAGAAAGGAGAGAGTTATGAAAATTAGAATTCTCATATACACAAAAGTGACCAAATACAAGAAGGAAAGAGCCTTATATAGATCTCGATATGACTTCTAGGAGAAGTTAAGCTAACCATGGGTCAAAAGTGAACCATGGTGGCTTAACTAGCATGTGGTGTGCCAAATTTGAATTCAAAATTCAAATTTGATACGTGAACCAAGGCTCCCACTTGTGATCCCATGTGCAACTAGATTTAGGAGTTTGAATCTTGTATTTGAATGTCATGTGGTGAACATTTGCAATTGAATTTGGTAGCCCATGTGCGTCTAACCACATGATCGGTCACATGACTACCAAATCAAATTTAAATGTGTATCCATGGTTCAAATAACAACTATCAATTCCTAAGGCCCATCAAATAACTCATCTATTCTACTTGGCCCAATAAATACAAGGCCCATAAAGTCTAATGAAGGCCCAAAATACAAGACCTAAAATACAAGCTCAAACAAGACTCACACTCCTATACTATTAGGCCCAAAATTCATAAGAAGTATTGGGTTTTAAGTAATAGCCTAACTCAAGAGGAACTTAAGTTCAATAACCTCAGCACAGGTTCAATCCTCTTGCATTATACTAGTCATGGCCTTAATGGTGGATATCTTGGTTATGCCTCTATCATCATTAGGTATTTGATAGAAACAACTTACACTACAAGAAAAATGCTAATTTTCGACGGGTAAAATCCGTCGGAAACAAGTATAATCTGTCGAAAATTGAGGATTTTTGACGCATGTAAATCTGTCGAAAAAAAGAGCGTTGGAAAAAAAAATCTGTCGAAAATAATTTATTCCATCGATAATTTCTGACGAATATTTTCATCGAAAATAACAAAATTGATTTCCTATAAAAAATTTGTCAAAAATATTTGAATTTTATTTTTTTATAAATTTATTAATGTAACCAATTGACATTATTTTCATATGTTTAACAATATATATAGATTGATAGAAGCTTTATCAAAATAAATTTAAAAGACAACACTAATGTTTATATATAATAATATATAATCCAACACTAACATATGTTAAACAATTCATAATTCAAACATCATATATAGTTAATTCAAATAGATTAATATTTTTCTAATGCTAACTAATAATCATCATAATTAGGAGAGTCTACTTGATTTTTTCCTTGGTCATCTTCTTCTTTGTTGTTGATGTTGTTCCCCATTTTGTTGATCTAGGTTGACATTTTGTTGTTGACTAATATTTTGAATGACGTTTTGTGCTTTTGTGGGTAAGAATTGCAAAACAATTGATTGAAACTGTTGCAATTGATGAATAACCACATCATTTTCTGTAAGTCATTGTTTCAATTGAACAATGTCTTCTGTGTCATGTGAATTGTTATAAGATGCTTTCCTTTTAAGTTTGAGGCAACTGTTATGTGTATCTTTTAAATCACAAGCAAGGTCTCCAGCTCTATATAATTGCCCCTTAGTGATCATGCCACCAATTGCGCATCAGACCAACACTTAGACCTAATTGCAAGTCGTAGGAATAATGTTTGCTGCGAATTTTAAAATTCGCATGAAAAATTGCATGTAACAAAAAAAAAAATAGTAGTGCTACTTGACGGGTTAATCGTGTAATTGAAAAATTAAAGACCCAAACTTATCCTTCAAACAGAAAATGGGCTAAAATAATGGCCCAAGAATTGCTGTTAACAGGCAAATAATTGATTATTGATATATAGTGCGTCTTATGATAGTGATTTGGAACTTATGATATTAATTTATTTAAGAAAAAGATCTCCACTTATAAAGACGATACGGTCATCTCTGCGGATCTTGAACAATCAAGATTTAGTAAATTACGATGATCCATTGCATAATTTGTCAAGAATTGAGAGATTGCAAATCAAAATAAAATGAAAGAATAAATGACGATCAGAAAACGGTACTTGGTAATTCTCGTTGGTGGTTCCCTGTGTCTGGCTGAGTGAATTCAACCATGGCCTCATCCATCACAAGTGCTCCTTTCCCTCTGTGACAATACGCCACCGCCAAGTAAACCAAGAAATTAACGACATTGATGGCCGTCAACACCCAATAAAAGTAGTCCAACCTACTCTCAGCAAGATGGTTCCTCAACCACCCTTTGCCTTGTCCACCACTCGCACCCTCAATGATCTTCACCAGCGCACTGCTCAACCAGCTTCCAATCCCAATCTCACACAAAAACATCGCACTGCTAATGCTCCTCGTCCCATCCGTCGCTTCATCGTAGAAGAACTCCAGCTGTCCCACATAGGTGAAAACTTCAGCAGCACCCATCAGAAAGAACTGAGGAAGCAACCAGAACACGCTCATCCTCACCGACTCCTGCGCGCGTCTTTTGTTTTCGACCAACGCAGCCGAAGCCATGGCGAAGATCGAGACCAATAGCCCCACTCCCATTCGTTGCAACGACGTGATGCCGCGCTGGTGCCCGGTGAGGCTGCGTAGAAAGGGCACCGCCAGTTTCTCGTAGATGGGTACCAGCACGAGGGTGATGGCGCTGAACACGGGGACAGAACCTGTGGGGATTTTGAAGCCCCCGAGTGTTCGCTCCATGATTCTGGCTTGGCTTAGGAAGAACGTTGAGAGCTGAGCGTAGGACACGGAGAGAGCGATGGTGGAAGCCCACACCGGAAGGACTCGAATGAAGGATTTGAATTCTTCTACTTGTGTCACCGTGCATGTACGCCATCGATTGCTTTTCTCCTCAGCGTTCGTCATAACTGCTGCTTTGTCAAAAAACCTGCACAAAGACACTCTCTCTGGTCGTTAGTCGCAGATCCCACATCGACTTAATAACCGCACATTCTTAAGAGCCATATAATTATAAAAACCTGTATTGTGCGGTGTGAGGAAGCTTGCGAGCGCCCGGAATATCTGAGTGCGTGGTTTGGACCTCGTAGAGGCGAGTTTCCTTGACACCGTTTAGATGATTCCTGAGGGAGGCTACTATAACCTGAAGAAACCTAGTGAAAGGGCTTCCCAATGGCTTTTTGAAACGGTAATACTTGACACCAGCAAGTAGGATAAGGATAGAACAGATGGTGGCAGCAGCGGGTATTCCAAAACCCCAACCAAACCCTGCGACGTCTTGTATGTAAACGAGTAGCGTGATTCCAAGGATGGCACCCATGTTGATGGCCAAGAAGAACCAGTTGAAGAAACCGAACTTCATCTGGACTTCTTTCTCATCTCCCTCGTCAAATTGGTCACCCCCAAAGGACGACACACAAGGCTTTATTCCACCCGTGCCCAAAGCAATGAGGGCAAGTGCACCGTAGAGGAACGCGGTTTGGCCTTGGCTTGCCACTTTGCATGGCCAAACAGTGCATTTAAGAGGGCGTAACGTGTCCAGTGAAGCCGAAAGTGTAAGCATAATCATCCCCTACACCATTCACCTCATATATACACAATCATGAATAAACAATTGTGTTTACGTATATATAATATTACCAAGTTACACATGCCAAATATATATAATATTACCACAGCATAAACGGCAGAGAAAAGAAGGATGGTGGTGAAGCGACCCAAGTAAGCATCAGCTAGAAACGCTCCAAGGAGGGTAAGCACATAAGCAGCACCAACCCAATCTGTGACGTGGGTAGCAGCGTCTGGAAGCGATTGATGCATTTCAGAAACCAAGTAAGCCACCATGTTCACTGCAATTGCAAAGAACGCCAACCTCTCTGCCACCTCGTTCACTGCACCACAGGTAATTAATTAATTAACATCAGTAAAAGTAAAATGGGAATTAAGACATGCATTCATGAAAAATAATAATAATAATAATAATAATTAATGTATGCGTGATGTATAATTATCTATAACATTACCTATGATAAAGGGGGATGCTTTCCATCCTCCAGTTGTTCGCTTGTCAGCAATCCTACCATGCACATTCACGCAACCGTTGCTCACCAATTCCATCTCCTGTTTCAAAAATTAAAAATGCATATAGTCATATGATTAACTCTGTAAATAGTAATAACTTGTATATTGTATGAGTTCAAGTTAACAAATATCAATTGCCTTGTCATCTAGGTCGATAGGAGCATTAGAAGGAGTCTCCATGAAATTGAATAGTTAGTGAGAGGAAACGTAACACCGATTTTGCATTTTATATGGCATTTGGATGAGAGTCTGTATTGTTTATTGATTTGCGCCTGTAACATATGCAGGCGGCAGAAGCTTAGTCTTGAATTTTATGGCTAACAAATGGAAGAGCCACATACATCAGGTTATAAAATGATACTCAAACTGCCACCTAATAATAAATTTTGAACTTCATATTATAATTTATACTTGAAGAGTGATAAAAACAAAACACTTTTTTTAACCTGCTTATCATTTGACTGAATTATTAAATGAGATTTATTTAATGGGTGGATCGAAACTCTTAATTATGTAAAACATTAGTTTTCAGTTTAACTAAGTGTTACACCACTCAATAACTTTATATTAAATGTGAATTTTGTAAATCCAACCGTTAGATTGAAAGTTCATATCTCTTAGATCATATATATCAAATTTTATATTAATCTAAGATGATTTGATACTTCATTCTCATAAAACAAAATTGACGTAATATATGCATTTCAAAATATACTAAAATATGAACACTTTGATTACCTTCAAGTTGTTGTTCAATTTTAACAAAATTTGACATATATGATCTAAGAGATATAAATTTTCAATCTAACGGTTGGATTTTCAAAATTTATATTTAATATAAAGTTGAGCGGTGTAACACTTAGTAAAAGTTACACCGGTGTCGTTTGAACCCTCCTCATATATATATGAGGAATTAAATTACTCCAAGAGTAACACTTGGTACAATTACTCCACCTAATAACTTATAGTTTATGTTAAGTTTAAATGATTCAATTGGTAAATTAAAAATTTCATATAGAGTGTAGACCAAGTCTACAAATTTTTTTAAAAATTTAAAAACTATTTGATACTTCGTTTCATTAATTTAAATTGATGGATAATCATAAAATATTTTATATGTTGATTTGAATCTATATAACGAAGTATCATATAATTTTCAAAATTTTTTAAAAATTTGTAAACTAGATTTATACATTAAAAATTTTTAATTTAATGGTTGAATCATTAAGAGAGAGGGGGGAGGGGGAGAGAGGGATTAAGTAACTCTTAATAAAGTTATTCTACTCAATAACTTATAGTGCATATTAAATTTTAATGATCTAACCGTTAAATTAGAATTTCTTAATGCATAAATTAAATATACAAAATTTTAAAAAAAATTAAAAATGATTTGATACTTTGTTTTATTAATTCAAATTGATGGATAATCATAAAAATATTTTATATGTTGATTTAAATGTATATAACAAAGTATCATATAGTTTTCAAATTTTTTTAAATTTTGTATACTTGATTTATACATTAAAAACTTCTAATTTAATGGTTAAATTGTTAAAATTCAACAAATACCATGAGTTATATTATATGGAATAACTTTACCAAAAGTTACTCTTGGAATCATTTGATTATTCCTCATATGTGTGTGTGTCTACTCAATAAATCATGTTCTACGTTAAATTTTAACGATCTAACTGATAAATTAAAAGTTCTTAGTGTATATATAAAGATTACAAATTTTAAAAAATTTGAAAACCATATGATACTTCATAATATAGATTTAAATCAATATATAAAATAATTTTATGATTATCTGTCAATTTGAATTAATAAAATGAAATATCAAATAGTTTTCAAATATCTTAAAATTTTGTAAACTTTATATATGCATTAAAAACTTTTAATTTAACGGTTGAATCGTTTAAATTTAATATAAAATATTAGTTATTGAGTTGAGTAAATTTTAGTAGACTCACTTCACTCAATAACTCTTGTTCTAAATTAAATTTCAATGATCTAACTATTAAATAAAATTTTCTTAGTACAAAAATTAAGTTTACAAATTTTAAAAAAAATTTAAAAACCATAAGATACTTCATATGTAGATTCAAATTAATATATAACATATTTGTATAATTATCTATTTAATTTGAATTATGAAATTAAGTATCAAATAGCTTTGATTTTTTTAAAAATGTGTAGAATTGATCTATGTATTAAAATTTGATGTAAAACATGTATTATTAGGTAAAGTAAATCTACCGACACATACCTCATATAACTACCACTAAATTGATTTCTCTTCATTATCTTTTATTTATTTACATATTTATTTATTCTCTTTTCTTTTTATTTTCAAATTTCTCACATTTTAAGTAATTACTTATTTTTTTTATTTTTAAATAACATATACTCCTCTATTTTTCCTAGTAATAAGGATAAAAAAGGTGTGCTCCATATTTGAGGATTATTTTTACTTAGAAAAAAAATTATGCAGTGTAAAGTTTTTTTTTTTTTACACATTTATTTAATCACAAACTATTATAAATAGTAATTTTGTTAAATTTTATATTAACTATCTTAAAAATGATACAAATAATATTTTATAATTGATTCATCATATAAATGATTTTAATACGTGTATGACGATTAAATCCTACTTTTAATTATAAAAAATATTATTTTGTATTAAATTTAATCATTTTTTAAATTAAAAAATAAAACAAAAAATAATATTTTTTTATTTTATTTTAATATGAAATATAATTATTTTTAAATTTAATTATCTATATATTTTTAATTTAAGAAATTTCCAAATTTAATATGTAGACATGAGTTTTAAAGTAATTATTATAATATATTTTTAATTATTATAAATATCAACAAACTTTTCATACACGATAATTTAATTATCTGCAATCGAATAATAATGTAAATTTTTACATTATCGATTCATATATTATTGATAATACATATATTATTTATTTGTAGATATATTATATTTATAAATATCATAATTAATATTTCATAAGTAAAATTGACCGTCTATACATATTAAATATTATATTTTTTAAATATAATATATAGTCAAATTATTAAGCAATTTATTGTGCTAATAGTATCTCTAGAACATAAATGAGTGAAAAGAAAAGAAAGAAGAAAAATAAAACTAGAAAGTGACATTTATTAAATTATTTAATACTTTTTTTTGGTGTTTAAGTTATTTATGAGATTGTATGAAAATTAAAAAAAAAAAAATCTCTTATTTTATTGTATATATAGAAAATGAATTAAAGAAAAGAAAATAAAAATGTAAAATGACATAAATACGAGAATAAAAAGGACAATATATGACAATTAATTTTTTGAATAAAAATGAGTATTTTAAAATATAGTTTTTATAGAGAATAAAAAGTGATAAAAAAAAAAATCTTTCCAAGAGAAGTAAACAAGAAAATATAATGCAGATTATCATCCATCGTAAACAAAACAAAACAGGACAAAAAATGATAAGAATTGAAAGAACGCTGAGAAACGTATTTCTTTAGCTACTTTTTAATCGTGGATTTTTTAATAAATTTTTGTTTTATTAATTTATTATTTTAAAATTTAAAATAATATTATTTTTTTTCATTATTCCCTCATTTAATTTAATTTTTATTTAATTAATACATTACAGCTAAAATACATTTATTAATTATGAAATAAAATTAAAAGAAGATATAATAAAAAATATCAAATTTATTTTTATAAAACAAAAAAAATTAATTTTTAAACTAGTGTATAAAAAAATTTAAACAACTATTTAAAAAAATGACTTTCTTTTTTTAAAAAAATCTTGTTTTTCAATGCTTCCTTTCGTCATCACTTTTCTACTAATATTAGAGTGAAATACATTTTGATATTGGTCTCAATTTTTCTTTCTTTCTATTCCTTCACTTTTTAGAGTATCATACCAAACAGTGAAAAAAATAGTTTTTATAATCTTTCCGTTTCTTTGTCCATAATTTATTTCCAAAATCTACCATGCCAAACCATAAAGTACACTAAATTCTCCAAAAAAAACTTTCAAATCCATGGTAAGATATTTAAGAAGATTCAATCTCATACTATGATTCCAAGATTTACCCAAATCTCACAATAAATCAATCCAATTAATTTCCATCAAAATGCATTCATCCTTCTCCCTTTCATAAAAATAAAAATAAAACTCGATCCTTTAACAACCCTTCTTCTTCAAATTAATTTTCATTTCTTGTTCAATCAATCACGTATCTCTTCCCCTGGTGCACAACAGTTAAAGGTTAGCATGTTCATTTTCTATAGTATTTCATCATCTTTTGCTGTTGTCTTCATCTTCTTGTGTAGTGTTGTATATTTTTCATCTCTTGTACAGCATGTTCTACTTTTCTATACCCATCTTCTTTCCTAATTTTTGTTAGTAGTATATTTTTGTTTCTCTATTTTTTAACCTAGAGTACTCACTCCCATTTATTAATTGGACAATACTTCATCTCCTTTCAATCACTCCAATTTAACATTTTTATATAAAAATTAATAACGACAATAAATATATCATTTTTTAATATAATTTTATAAAAGTAAGTTATTCTCTTAATAAATATATTATTTTTAATTGTGATAATTAAATAATTTAAGAAAGAATAAATTCAAAAAATTAATATTATATTAAAAAGTAAGAATATAATTTATTTTAAGATATTTTTAAAATGATAAAATTATAATTATTGTGGAAAAGAGGGGATATTAGCATGTTTATTTTACCGTTTAAAAACTTTCAAACCGAAGTTTATATGTTCCGATGTATGAAATGGAGAAGTAACAAAGTACTTGTTTTAATTTGAACATGGATTACCTTCTATCAAACTTTTTTCTTGAACACACACTATGTTCTTTACACCATGTTTAAAATGAGAGGAAGGGAAAAAGAAGGAATGAATACACATTTTTCAAAATACTTTCTTTCTTAGGAAACACATGAAAATGATCGAGGGAGAAAGAAAAAGACTTTTGAGACTCACATTAAAATTGATTCTCTCCAATTTGAAAAGAAAGATATATATATATATATATATAACTCTATACCTTTGTGATTATTTAAAAGTTTAGAATGACATATTAATCTATTTAAAAATTTATTTTACATTAACAACATTTAATAAACCAATAACTTTAATTTTAAATAAGTCAACAATTATATTTAAAAATAAATGTGTGAGTTTTCTTTTAATTTGTATGATAAAAAAATAATTTAATCTATTATTATTATTATTATTATTATTATTATTAAATGTTGGAATTTAAAATAAAAATAAAAAATTAAATAAAAAATAACTCATACATACCATATACTTTCACGTACATATTGTAATGAAAGAAAGAAGAAAGATAATTTTATAATTTTTTTAAATATTCTTTATATTTCATTTAAAGTATTTTAAATAGTCAATTATAAATATGAAGAGAAAAATTAGATGTAATTACTAGAATTTTTATTTTCAATTTTTTTTATTCATATAAATAAAAAATGTAAAATATTTAAGTATAATAAAAATATTAATAATTTAATTCTTCATATTATAATTTTATTTGTTTAATTATATTGTTAAAAATATAATATATTATTTTTTATTACAATTATATAGATAAATAAATCTATGATCAACTATAGTTTTTTTTTTCAGCGTTTTCGTTGACAAGCAATGAAAGGAGAGTTTATACTTTATACCGTACATGACCGCAGTTTTTTTTAGTGATATATATGACTCCATAGTTAACAATACTTTTAGTTAATTTCATTCTTAGAGTAGATATTAAACTCATCTTTAATTAAAGAATACTAATGTTATAAAAGTTGCAGTAACCACTTTTGGTACATCACTTCAATTGTGTGCGTTATTGTTAGCTAGTATCATTTAATTATTATTAATACTGTAATTTATATATATAATAATTATACTCAAATTAAAATTTATAACTCCTTATATATATATATATAATTTCAATTTTTGTCACTATTTGAGTGTAAAAAAAAACCTTTGTAACTATTTAATTTTTATAATAAAAATTTTAATTACAACAATAAATTTAAATAATCAAAGACTCTGTAAATACTATCAATTTTTATATAACTTTAAGCGAATGAAATAAGATATTTTATTAGCATGTAATTAATTAATATGAGAATAAAGTAATAAAGATATGTTTAACTAAAAAAAAATAATACGACACCCTCTTTAATATATTTTTATTATTAATTAATATTTACTTTTAAAATTCTTTTTATTTAATGAATTTAATTCATAATTTTAAAGTTTATAACTTTAGCCAATAATAATAATAATACATGTAAAGATAAACAAAATCTTTAGTTGTTTTTTTAGGTTTATTTTCATCATGAATAATTTTTTATTTGTTTTTTACAGTATCTTCTTGCTTTCCGACAAATAAATGTTTTATATTTCAAGAAATTAAGTATATTTATTCTTGTAGTGTTTGATACGTTTTAACAGTCATTAAGGTTTGACCTCATGTTTGCCGGTATTTTGCTTGTTCCAGTGGGGTCCTCTGTTCTGTAATCTTGAGTCTCTTGAGCTAACAAGTGCATATGATCATGACTATGTAACAGAGAAGAGATGAGATCGAATTTGCATATAGGTGTTGTGATTCTTTTTCTACTTATTGCATGGGTTTCACTTGTTATCACTGGAGAGATGTTTTTCTTCGCGATTAGAAAGACTGCTACTTTTGTCAGAAACGATTATTTATCGGTAGATATGCCTAAAGATAACAATGTTTTCCGTGTGCCTCCTGGTTACAATGCTCCCCAACAGGTAACGCAACTCATTGTTTCATCCCAGATTAATTACAAACGTAAGTGTAAGTGTCTGTCTCTGTTATGCTGATTTCTATTGAGGATGTGGATTTGGAAAGGTGCATATAACACAAGGAGATCACGTGGGGAAGGGTGTCATCATTTCTTGGATCACCCCAGATGAACCCGGCTCAAGCACTGTTCTTTACTGGGCGGAAAATGGTGAATTCCAAAGGCAAGCACATGGCTTTGTCCTTTCCTACAAATACTTCAATTACACCTCTGGTTACATTCATCACTGCACCATTCACAATTTGGAGGTAGGTAAGTGCGTAACGCACTTGTCATTGCTCTCACTTTCTTTAATTTAACACCCACTTGATTTTTTAACACTTACCTTACCTGTTCTCATTGCAAATATATACACAGTTTGACACCAAATATTACTATGAGGTTGGAATAGGGAATAACACTCGACAATTCTGGTTCGAAACTCCTCCCCCTGTTGGCCCCGATGTCCCCTATACATTTGGTGTCATTGGTGATTACCATTTCCTCATCTGGTATTTGTATTATATATGCATGTCTAAAATTGGTCTTGAAATGTCGCCTGCTTTTAAAGGCTAGAATAGGAAATTTTTTATAAAAAAAATCACCTTTTCTCTAACACAAATCTTTGAAAATAAAATATAAAATTAAAAGGTTAAATTATTTACTTATTCTTTATAGTGTTTCCATTTTTAGTCTCTATATAAAAAGTTAACAACTGTAAGTTTTAGATTCTGAAATAGTGTACTCTTTTCTGACAGTTTATCGCCACATAAATTTTTTGTGGTTGTTTTAGATTGCCAGAAGTTTTCTCTGCTAGTGTTAATAATGAGGGAAAAAAACTTAACTTTTATCTATGTATATTAGTGACTAAAACTTACACAACAAGAAAAAAAATCGGATTTCAAAGTAAAAATAAATAGGCCCTTAATAGTTAATTCTTTAGTCAAATTGGAGTTGCATTCTGAACCATACCATTATGGAGCAGGGGATCTAGGCCAAACATACAATTCCGGCACGACGCTTACCCATTATGAAAAAAATCCGGCGGAAGGGAAGACAGTATTGTATGTGGGGGATCTCTCTTATGCAGATGATTATCCATTTCATGACAACACTAAGTGGGATACATGGGGAAGATTCACCGAGAGAATTGCTGCTTATCAGCCTTGGATTTGGACTGCAGGAAACCATGAAATTGATTTTGCTCCACAACTTGTATGTGTTAAATACTACCTTAGTACTCCACAAAGTTGTGTTAAAGTTGGACTTTCTGTTACTTGTTACAATTATGCCTGTTATTTGAATTGCTTTGTTTTCTTGGAAGGGTTGTTTTTTTAAGATATTATGCACACTCTCTTTAGTTTTGTGTTTGGTTTTTTTTTTTTTTTTTTTTCATTTGGTGTTTATGCAAAGAACTTTTGTAGTTTGAGTTAAAACTAGTGTTTTACTGCAGGGGGAAAACAGACCATTCAAGCCTTATACTTCTCGCTATCATGTACCATACGAAGTATCAAATAGTACATCTCCATTGTGGTACTCTATCAAAAGAGCTTCAGCATACATCATTGTTATGTCTTCTTACTCAGCTTTTGGTAATATTTTTTGTTTTCAAAACTTGCTCGTACCTTTTAAATATCTAATATTCTAATGTGCCATATTTCTCAGATAAATGCAGTTTTGAATAACGGCTTTTACTAAATTTTTGATCAATTTGAATGATGCATCTCTTCTCCAGAGAGCTTGAAAAGTGGGAAGTTGTTTATACACCTTTATAAAGGAATTTTGAAGTGACAGATTTTTGTTTCTTAAATGACTACAAATAATAATTACTAGCAATACACGTGATTAGCGATTTTGGTTTGTGCTGTGTACTAAAATATGCCAATTATGCACAATTGACTATCAAAGAAACTGTCATGCATGCATACATATTTATGTTGATTTGTGAAGATACAGATTTTTATTTTGTTTTCAAGGTAAATACACTCCTCAGTACAGATGGCTTCAAAAGGAACTGCCCAAGGTGAATAGGACAGAGACACCATGGCTGATAGTCCTCATGCATAGCCCAATATATAATAGTTACGTGAATCACTATATGGAAGGGGAGACCGTCCGAGTAATGTACGAGAAATGGTTGGTTGAGTATAAAGTCGATGTTGTCTTTGCTGGTCATGTCCATGCTTATGAACGATTTGTGAGTTCTCAATTTCCCATTTCATTACATTGACCAAGTACATCTATGCATTGCATCTACAGAATCTCTGTGCACTAAAAGTGGTTTCTTTTATTCTTTATATTACACCATGATTTCCGCTCTAATTTAGGTTTGAGATATTAGCTACTGAAAATTCTAAATGAAGTTGAATGGTACAATGGTTTTCATATAACCCCAAGCTTTTTTGTTGCAGGAACGTGTATCGAATCTTGCATACAACACTTTAAATGGGCAGTACAGACCCATCAATGATCAATCTGCCCCAGTTTACATAACGATTGGAGATGGAGGAAATGTAGAAGGACTGGCTACTGCGTACGTTTATTAGCTAGCGATAAATTCATTTAGAGTTTGTTGTGGTACAAATTTAGAAGCGTTTTTAATCGAAAAATACTCTTTATTTTTATTAAAAAAAACTCTAAAAAACATTTCTAGTTTGTACATAAACAAGCTCTTATACAACTTTACTATTTTTATAATTGATGTTATTAATTTTGCTTAAACTTTCATCATTTTTAAAATAAACTGCATCAGTTGACATTTCAGTATATTTTCCCTCAATGCTGCAGTATGACAGAGCCCCAGCCAAGCTATTCAGCATACCGTGAAGCCAGTTTTGGGCATGGAATTCTTGATATAAAGAATAGAACTCATGCTCATTTTAGTTGGAATCGTAATCAAGATGGATATGCAGTAGTGGCTGATTCTATTTGGTTGCATAATAGACACTGGAGACAACCAGAACAGAAATAATTGGAGGGTGAAGATGAGTAGTTATCAGCTGTTGGCAGATAGGTAGGCAATTGGCACATGTATGAGCAGTAGTATGAATAACATCGTAATCACATTTTACAGTTAGAAGAATCAATTCATTCGTTTCTTTAATTCTTCTTCAAGCTATGTTCTCTTTTGTTCAGATATCTTCTTTTGCTTAGACGGTATCAATAGTATTGTTGCTCAAACATGACATGAAATTGACTTTCTTGTGGTTCTAAATACAAATACGATGCAAGATCCATCTCTTAATCCAAATAGTTCTTAGTTTACTATTTCATCTATCCGAAAATCCTATAGCAATCACTGTTCAACCTCCTCTCACGGTGGATAACTAGCGTGTGTGGGCGAAACAAATGAGAAGAATTTAGCTTTGAAGAACAAGCATAGATTTGTTAATGGTTCCATTAGGGTTCCTACCATGAATGGTCCAAGTTTTGAAACATGGGAAAAGTTTCATTCCTTGTCACCTTTGATGGGCAGAAATATGATGACTAATTATCCAAGTGAAGACACGTGACTCAGCAATACTATATAAAATATATTTGGATACAACTTTAAAAAAGTTTTAAAAAAATTTTCAATTAAAAAAAAAGTATTTTTTTAACAGCTATAAAAACCCTTCTAAATTTATCAAAAAAAAGCTCATAATCATATTATTTTTGAAAACTAAAAATATTATGTTATACATGAACCAAAATTGCCTGAATAGTAAAATCTTTTTCTATAGTAATATAATTGTCTAATAAATTTGAATCAAAATACATTTGTATAATAAACAGATCATTCATGTCTTAAAGTGAAAAGCTACACATTGAAGAGTGAGAAAAATTCTTCCTTGAAGAATTTGTCGAGAAGAAATGAGAGAAATGTGATGCATTACTTAAATAATATTTTTACTAGGTATGTGTAAAGTGGAGTTTGAAAATTCACACGAGTTGAAGCGAATGCAGTAAGATATTTTGTTACCATGTCAGTAACCTGAAGGTGTTGATGCATATTTGACGGACGGTTGGTTTGCACGTTGCACTAAGGTGTTGTTAGCTAAGCCTAATTAATTAGCTTCTCCCAGTTGGGTCCTCTGTTCTAGTGTTCTGTATTCTTCCAGCGCGCATGTTTTTATAATTGGCACAACACAAGCATATTCGAACCACCCGGGTGAATATTCCTTCACTCTCTTCTGCATAGGAACTGTATCTGCCATTGGGACACGAATCAACAGAGAAGGATGGGATTGAATTGCCATAGAAGCAGCGTTGTTAGTGTTCTTCTGCTTGTTGCTTGGGCAGAGATACGTGTGTGTATGAGTGGAAAGACTAGTACTTTTGTGAGAAATGATTATTTGTCGTTGGATATGCCAATAGATAGTGATGTGTTCCGTGTGCCTCCTGGTTACAACGCTCCCCAACAGGTAACGCAACGATTAATTATAACATAAGTGTCTGTCTTTCTTATGCTGATTCCTGTTGAGGATTTGGATTTGAAAAGGTGCATATAACACAAGGGGATCACGTGGGGAAGGGTGTCATCATCTCTTGGATCACCCAAGATGAACCCGGTTCAAGCACCGTCCTTTACTGGCCGGAAAATAGTGAATTCAAATGGCAAGCTCATGGCTTTTTCCTTTCCTACAAATACTTCAATTACACCTCTGGTTACATTCATCACTGTACTATTCACAATTTGGAGGTAGGTAGGTAGGTGTGTCATTGCTCGCACTTTCTTTAATTTAACACCCATTTGATTTTTTAACACTTACCTTACCTGTTCTCATTGTAAATATATACACAGTTTGACACCAAATATTACTATGAGGTTGGAATAGGGAATACCACTCGACAATTCTGGTTCAAAACTCCTCCCCCTGTTGGCCCCGATGTTGCCTATACATTTGGTCTCATTGGTGATTAACTCTTCCTCCTCTACTATATCCGGCTATGCTTAATTAACTTAATTTTCTGCCTGTCAAATTTGTTAATTTGATTATATGTGTATGACTAATTGACCTGTTTTTAAAGATTTCTATAGGAAATTCTAAATATTGTTTTCACTTTTTCTTACTCAAATCTTTGAAAATAAGATAACGAGGAACAAAATATGATTTCCAAGTAAAAGTAAATTGGCCCTTAAAACTGTTGTGAAATTGGAGTTGCATTCTAAATAATACCATTATGAAGCAGGGGATCTAGGCCAAACATACAATTCCAACACAACGCTTACCCATTACGAACATAGTCCGGCGAAAGGGCAAACAGTATTGTATGTGGGAGATCTCTCTTATGCGGATGATTATCCATTTCATGATAACATAAGGTGGGATACATGGGGAAGATTCACTGAGAGAATTGCAGCTTATCAGCCTTGGATTTGGACTGCAGGAAATCATGAAATTGATTTTGCTCCACAACTTGTATGTGTTAAATACAACCTCACTACTCTACTAAGTTGTGTCTATTGTTTAAGTTGGACTTTCCGTTAGTTTGTGGTTGATTTTTTATTTTCTTTTTATTGGCCTTAGTAGTTTGATTTAAAAGTATAGAATGTTGCTGCAGGGTGAAACCAAGCCATTCAAGCCTTATACTTCTCGTTATCATGTACCGTACAAAGCATCAGATAGCACATCTCCATTGTGGTACTCTATCAAGAGAGCTTCAGCATACATCATTGTTATGTCTTCTTACTCAGCTTTAGGTAATATTTTTTTGCTTTCAAAACTTTCTGGTAGCTTTTAAATATCTAATGAAGTAATATTAAATTGAGGGATTTTTTTTCTTTCTTAAATGACTGCAAATAATAATTAATAGCAAAAATTCATAATTTGGTATTTAGAATTTAAGAATATATCTAAGACTGGATAAACAAATCCAAGGAGGCAATTAAGTATTTAACCCATGGTCTACTATCTAGTCCTTACCTCATCTAACCCAATTTACCAACCAAGTACTGTCAATACACTTGAATTAGCTGTTTTGGTTTGTGCTATGCACGAAAATATTGCCAATTATGCATCACAGGAACTCTCATGCATGCATATGATACACAGTATTACTATTTATGTTGATTGTGAAGATACAAATTTTCATTTTCTTTACAAGGTAAATACACTCCTCAGTACAAATGGCTTGAAAAGGAACTACCAAAGGTGAACAGGACAGAGACACCGTGGTTGATAGTCCTCATGCATAGTCCAATATATAATAGTTATGTGAATCACTATATGGAAGGGGAGACCGTTCGAGTAATGTACGAGAAATGGTTTGTGGAATATAAAGTCGATGTTGTCTTTGCTGGTCATGTTCATGCTTATGAAAGATCTGTGAGTTCTCAATTTCTCATAAATGTCTTTGCATTATCTATTGTTACATCCCAAGGACGTGTGTTTGCAATTTGCATCTACAGGATCTCTGTGCATTAATACGCTGACTGCTTAGACAATTATGGATCAAAGTTGCTTCTGTGTTTTAGAATTTTGAGGAAAGGAACGAAACCTCGATAACCCCATGCGTCTTTGTTGCAGGAACGTGTATCAAATGTTGCATATAATATTGTAAATGGGCTATGCAACCCCATCAATGACCAATCTGCCCCAGTTTACATAACAATTGGTGATGGAGGAAATTTAGAAGGACTGGCCACTGCGTACGTATATTACCTAACAATAAATTGATCTATATGACTTCATTATTATTATTAATTTTGTTCAATGCTGCAGTATGACAGAACCCCAGCCAAGCTATTCAGCATACCGTGAAGCCAGTTTTGGTCATGGGATTCTTGATATAAAGAATAGAACTCATGCCCACTTTAGTTGGAATCGTAATCAAGATGGATATGCAGTGGTGGCTGATTCTATTTGGTTGCATAACAGATACTGGAGCTACCCAGAACAAACATCTCTTGCTTCATTTCGGTAGAATGATTGAGTACAACTTGTGTGGAAGTGGGATCAATATTCAGGATGTGTAAATTACCTATAGTCTCTCTATGGTTCCAAATGTTTCACATTGTCGTGTGAATAGTTGCGACCATGTTATAGTAATTGCTTCCAATGTTATATTTCATAATACAGTATTGTGAAGCGTGTATTCCATCCAGATTATATAAAAGTTAATGATTTGCTCAGTACTACAAATATTAGGATATCATCGCATTAGTTGTCTAATGATTTTTGTCATGAAATTAGTTTTTGTTGGGATATAAGCAAAGTCCTACACCATTTAAATCAGATAATGAACATGAGTTTATATATACACAATTGTTTCTATTAAAAAATATGTTTGAAAACCTAAAATTATCATAATATTGATATTTTTATTCTTTTTAATTTGATGGGAAGCATATACTCGCATTCTAATCCATCGTTGCTTTATTGAATATTTGCCATTGAATTAATTTTTTTTAAAATTACCAAACAATTATCAAACTCATTTTTTATTGCTCTAGTCTTTTACAAAAATAAATATAATGACCTTTAATCTTTAATCTTTAAAATTAATATGTTAATAATAATAATGAAGTAATGAAATTGGAAGTTATTAATTCTTTATAATATGTTAGTTGTCAACAAATAAAATTATGTTAATTTCTTAATTGATAAATGTCAAACTATAATATTTCAAATTTAGATTAATATTAAGTTTGTTATATGTAGCTTGTAATTTATAATTCTTGTCTTTCAGCTTTTATATTTATCCATAAGTTGTTATTAAATAATTTGTAACTCGGTTATATATACCCAAGTCTCTTCTCTTCAATGAAGTTTCAAAAATAAAACAATAAGTTTATTCCATATATTTTTATTTTGGCATCAAAGCTTAATGTTGACGATAGTGAAGATAAGTCATGAGAAGATACAATCTGTCACATAATCATTAACCTATCAACTTGGAGCTTCAAATAATCTTGGAATTTCATTGGTAGTTGTGGCACTCATAAGAGACAATTATCGCAATTGGGCTCATTCCATAAAAACATTACATGCAGAATTTCATGTACTGATTCTTGAATACCTACTATGGTAGAATATTCATGTGGTATTTTCTCTGATTTTAAACATGTGATACAAGTTCCCTCTATTTCCCCGTTTCTCTTTTCATCTTCGGATTCTTATCTAACGATCCAGGACGTAACCCAGGACGTGAAGAATAAAAAAAAATGGAGTAGATTTCATTAATGAATCAATCAAGAAGTCATATCTTTCATCTCTAAAGTTCATTGATTGGGAGAAAGTTGATTCAATGATCATTGCCTGAATCATAAACTCGATTGAACCTGCATTGCATAGTAGCATATCTCATGCAACAATAGCAAGAGATATATGGCTTGATCTAGAAGAATATTTTGCCCAAACCAATACATCAAGAATACACCAATTATGGCACATGTTATGTTTGATGCAACAAGAGCCCAACATGATGGTGACTGATTATTATACCAAATTCAAAAGTTTATTAGATGTGCTTAGCAAGCTACAACAACTACTTGAATGCACTTGCGAAGCGTCTAAAGAATTGGCCAAAAGAGAAAAAGATAACCATGCCCATCTTTTCCTTAGTGAATTGGATAATGATCATTATGTCAAGGAACCATTTTGAATGTAGACTCCATGCCAACACTTAGACAAGTTTTTAATCATGTTGCGTGAAGAGTTACACATGATGGCTGAAAGAGGTAAGGAAGTAAGATCAGATATGGGAACAACGTTTCGTGCTAGATCTTTCAACAAGTCAAAGAGACATGGCAAAAGAAGACCCAAGTGTGAACATTGCAGAAAGTTGGTACACTAATTCAATACTTTGATTGAAAACCGATGTTGGGAGTATGGACTGAGAATGTTAATGCAATATGTTTCAGCTTTGAAAGTCCCACATTGGCTAGAATATAAAATAGAGAAGCCTTTATAAAGTCCGTGACTGAGCCACAGTATGCCGAGTTGAGTTGCGCCAGCTTGTAACCCATGTGGGGGCATCAGAGTGATGGGACGGCTACTGGGCTTTGCTAGGTTGGGCTGTTGCAGCAACTTGCTGGCCTGCCCGCTCCAAGTTGGGAGTTGCCTGCCCGCTCCAAGTTGGGAGTTGGGCCACGGAGCTTGTGCGAAGGCATTGGCCTCTTGGTCCCTAGACTTGAGGGCACAGCGTGAGGCTGGCTTGACAGAGCAGCGATAACCTCAGGCTTCCAACAGTGGAGGGATAACAGGCTGCTGCCCCAACAGCCCACAAATAGCCTGGTCAGCCCAGTTCCTTGAACCATCATTTTTTATTTTTGAAGTGCCAGATTACACAAATAATACTAATATATAATTATATTAGGGTTAAATATGTTTGTGTTTTAAATTTAGGGATAAATTTATTTTTACCTTTCAAATTTAAAATTATTTTTAGTCTTTATAATTTTAAAATATCTTATTTTAGTCTCACATATCAGTAATAAGATATTTAAAAATGATAGACTGAAACAGTCATATAGTATTAACTAGATTTAATATAATTTTTTATTAACAGAAACGCTATATGTAAATTTAATACGATAGTATTTGACAAACTTTTTAATAAAATTTGAGTATAAAAATTAAAATAAAATTTTTAAAATTATAAAAATTAAAAAAGATGATTTTTAAAATTATAAGACTAAAAAATAATTTTAAAATTTAAGGGATTAGAAACTTACTTAAACCATTATATTAACTTAGTATATCTGCCTGGCGATGCCCTGACTTTTTTTCTCCATTTTTTTAAAAAGAATGAAAATAAATATATTCTATATTTTTTTTTGGAAACATTGTTTTTTGCGTACAAATATTTTTAGTAGTTGAGTTTCTTTAATTTTTTTTCATCACAAATCTAGTTTGCTATTAACTTGTTAAACCGCAACACATATTTCATTCACCTCAATTGTTTAACTTATTCATTTGCTAGTCAGAAAAATTACATTATCCTCTATTTGAATGAATTGAGATATTTACTTAGTAATTATAAAAATTAACATAAACAAACACTACTTAGTAGTGTTTTGTTTTTGTTTTTTACAACCTACTACTTGGTAAAGTTAAGGTAATTTTTTTAGAGAAAACAAACTTTAAAGATGGATTATCTAAAGAGAAAAAATAGTAAAGAATATAAAATTTTATTATTGTTGAACTTTAAACTTTGATGAGTTCATATTACTATCTACCTTCAAATGAAAATAAAAATGAAAAAATTATTAATACATATAATTTTAAAATGAACAAAATAATGAAAATATTATTTATATAAGTCGCTTTATTGTTAGCTTATCTATTAATAATATAAAATGAAGAAATTCTATGATAATTCCTTTTCCTCCAAAACTTTTATATATAAATGTTATCATTACATAAATAAAATAAACTAATATAGAAATTAATTGATTTAGTAAAAAAAAGTATAATATCAATGTAATAACTACTACATTTTCTCTATATAAAAGTTTTCTGCGATGAATATGCGTTAAATATTTATTCCCTCCAATATATGTAAGCAAATATATCAAAATAAAAGGAATAAAATGTATATTTAGTATTTATTTAAAATAAACTTTTGGATAAAGATATTTTCATAATTAATAATCATTATTAGATTTTCATAATAGTATAGAATAAATTGTTACTGAAAATAAATATAAAAAACAAATATATCAAAATAAAAAGAATTTTATGGATAAAAATATTTTAATAATTAAAACAAAGAAACATATCAAAACAAATATATTTTTCTTCAATGCACGAAAATAATATTTTTTTAATAAATTAATATTTTATCAAAACTCCCTCTAAATACATCAAAATAAAAAGGAAGAAAATGGATATTATTTATATTAATAAACATTTATATAAAGCATTAAAATTATTAATAAAATTAATAAAAATATAGTTTATATAAATATTTTTGTAATATTAAAAAAAATTGAACCCAAAACATGTTTTACTGAGATTTTATTGTCCGTTTCTATTAATCTTTTCAACTCCCATATATTGTGATTTAATTGTATTAAAATACAAAATGTGGGGAGGCTTAAAGAGATTTCATTGCTAATTAAACTAGTCATTCCATTTTTTAATGTTATTGTAGTTGTAAACATTGATGTATGATAAATGAACAATAAGATATGAATCAAATGACCTTATTAACAACTCCTAAAAGATTTATTATTTAAAAGAAAAAGTTTATTACATTTTCTCTAGTCATTTTCTTTTATTTTCTTCGAATGACTTGGAAGGTGAGTAAGAGCTTAAATCAATTTTTTCTTTCTTTTTTTATTCTCCAATTCTTTTATGTTTGTGAATATATGACATTAGTTTTATGTATTTTTTTCTAATAAGTTTTCATGCTATGAAATCCAATTCATAGACAAGAGAATTTTTTTTTTAGCAAGTAAACATTTCTTGAGAAAGGTTGAATGCTTTGAATTTGAGATAAGTTATGTTTGAAATGATTTAAATAGTTGTAGATAGAACCTTTTTTGAAATTGACTCATAATTCTATATATCCATAGAAGAATAAAAAAATTAGGCTATAACTATAATGAACATAAATATTTTTCATATATTGGTTATTTACACATTTTCTTCATATTCTTTTGAATTGATTACGATGAAAACATAAATAGCGATACACATCAACCATCACTAGAAATATGTTAGCTACATCCATCTCAATTCTCAAAGCCCATTTGTCATTTCACTTTTTCATTTTTTTTCTATTTATCTTTTAATAATATATTTTATTTTTTAATTTTATTGTGATTTAAGTTATGTCGCTAGAAGCGTATTAATTATTATGTTTCATTGTGATCTTGATATTTTCATAAAAATAGGACAATTGTGATAAAATTACATAAAGTAGAAATAAAACAAAATAAGTATTGAATTAATTGTATTAATTTTTTTAAAAATACACAACTGTTGTTTAATAAAAAGTAATGAGATTAATTTATATTGATGAAATAAAATTAACTTTTAAATTATAATATTATTTTTTGGTAAAGATTAAGAAATTATATTATTACTTTAACCATAATTTTTTATACATATATAATATAAATACTTTAACTTATATGATAACTATTTAATTTATATGATAACCGTAGTGGCAAAAAAGAATTAT